GTTGAAGTTACTGAGAAGACTGTTTTCTCAGCATCTTCTTCTGTCTGATCATTACAGTTAATATTTTCCTCTTATTCCCTACGTGAGAGAGCATCGGCATTCCCATTGGCTTTGCCACTGCGGTGAACAATGTAAAAAGTGTAGGTAGAAAGTTCCAAAGACCATCGCCCTAACCTACCTGTGGCATCCTTGATGGATTTTAGCCATTTCAATGCTATATGATCAGTGTAGACTGTGAATTTGGAATTTGCAAGGTATGGACGAAAGGATCTAATGGCTTCAACTAGAGCTAAGCCGTCCTTTTCTGTAATGCTCCAGTTCTTTTCGCTGCCATGAAGAGCTCTACCACCAAAAGCTATTGGATGTTCATTATTTTTCTCATCTTTTTGACTCAAAACAAAACCTATGCTCATATCCTTCTATTTTTTTGGATACAATCATTAGATGCATTATATATACATATATGTGCATGTGCATATAACAAGTGCATTGATTAATTACAGAACTTTTGTATATCCTTTTTAGAATTATTTGTTAGTTTTCGTAACTTTTTGGTTTGCCTTTTCTTTGTTTTGGTTCATTTAGGTTTGCTTTATTTCAATTCGGTTTGTTTCGCTTCCCTTTGTTTCGTTTCGATTTTTGTATGTTTCATTTTAGTTTATTTTGCTTCGGAACGTGTTCGGTCCGATTCGCAGTATGGGTTGCTTTGGTTTGGTTCATTTCATTTCGTTTCGCGATACGGTTCGGTTTCGTTTCGATTCGCGGTATGGTTTGGTTTGGTTCATTTCATTTCGATCCACGATACGGTTCGATTCAATTGGGTTTATTTCAGTTTGATTCGCTTTGGTTTGACTCATTTCGATTCGCGATATGGTTTGCTTTGGTTTGGTTCGTTTCACTTCGCTCTTGAGATTGGTTGATCAGGCCAATGCTCAAAATTTGTTGTGATACAAATAACTCAGATGATCAGGCTGATGCCATTTGTTCTCAACTGGCGAAACTGGTGACCCAAAGTGAAAAGACTTGACACAAAATAAACATAACAAGATACAGGTAATAGCTGTTTTGTGTTTTGCACCGTTTATTCAGGAGATTTTGTATTTTGGTCAAGAATATTTTCATTTAGCAACTACAGGTATATATGGGGAGTTGATCCTGGTATGGTCGACTGGGACTACAGTCTATGTAATACGGATGTGAAACACGGTAGAAAAAGGTGTTGATGTTTCCAAAGTCTATATGTGGAAAAATAACCCTTTTGGATTTATAAATTGGTAGTTCATCTGGATCAAATGGAGGATTATCTACTTTACAGGACCACTTAGAGAGATCCTTCCAGCTATCATCAAGGTAGCGCTGTATGAGGTGTGCAGGAACACTTTCAAAATAGTGTGTATGGTAATCATGATCATCTTTGTTGTTGGTATATGAGGTCTTGACATAGCAGTCTCCTTGAATAATTTCAATGCCCATAATTCTCTTTATTGCATGACCCTCTGGTTTGACATCTAATTCTATGCATGGTTTGGTGTTTTCTTGCTCGACATTCCCTGACATTGTACTCCCAGACAGAACATTGACTGATTTATTGTCTTGTGCTGATTCCTTTTGGTCGAAAAACTTATGATTCTTCAGTGGACGTTTTCGTCGTTTTCCTGACATACTTCTATTGAGGTGAAATTCTCTCTGAATGGTGTCTGGAATGCTGCTGCCATACTCCCATGTGTTTCCTCTTTCTGGATCCTTCCATTTCACTCTGTAGTAGATTTTGCCATTTGCTCTCTTAGAACTTACAATTGAGTGGATGTCCTCTGGATTGAAAATAGGAGGGATATCCTTGGTTTGATTACCTGATGTTGGACTTGGAGGTTGTACCTGGCTGTCGTCGGGTTGTTTTCTGGATTTGGGCTGCTGATGCTTACTATTCACTCCCCTTTTCCCTTTGTTTACCTTTTCATTTACCTTGGTTGGAGCACTAGGACCTGGTGTGGCATGATTTTCCTTCATTGTTGCCGTGGGACTGGTAGGTTTTTCTGTTGTACTTGAAACTTGAAAACAAAGTGGAGAATTTGTCAAACCTTGGGGCAAACGTTTGAATTGATAAAGGCCTTGATGGGTGACGAAAGCAGTTTTATGCTTTGAATCTTCATGTAATGGCACTTGGAAGAAGCCATTAGCAAGGTCTAAAGTTGAGAAGATCTTAGCTTGTGCATTGGCGATGTGATCAACAACATCAAAAACAGGAAGAGGCCATGACATTGGTAAAGTGACAGAATTCAACTTTCTGTAGTCACAAACAAATCTATATGAGCCATCACGTTTCTTGACTAGGATAATGGGAGCTGAATACATAGAAGTAGACTCCTCGATCAAATCGTACTTCAGAAAATCATCTATAAGTTCTTCAGTGACTTTTTGGAGATGAGGAGATTGGCGATATGGTCTTCTCTTAACGTGTGGGTGGTTGCCAGTGTCAATGATATGTTGGTGCAGGTCAGTCTTTCCTAAATCTGCAAGACTCGTTGAAAACATGTTTCTATTTTGTCCCAAAAATTTAAGTAGTCTGTGTCGTTGGTCTGGAGTCAGTTGTGTATTTGTCAAATCAAATCCTAATTCTTGTGCAATTTTAACATGGTCCCTGGTGTCATTGTCTTTCTTCTCATTGTCAGTGTTAACGGTATTTGTTGATGGTTGGTCAGAGTCAATTTCAAAAACAGAGTCTTTGTCAATGTAACTAAATTTGCCTACAACAGTACCCTTGTCAAGAACCTTTTCTTCTTGGGAGGGATTCATAAGCCTAAATGTAGCAGTTTTGCTTTTTGCTTTAGAAAGAGTTCTACCGCCTGCTACTTCAGAATGAGCACTGAGGGAAGCGATGGGTTCAATGAGGATGAGGGAATCCTCTTTGACCTCTGATAGTCTAACCTTGAAATGAATTTCACTCTGAGGGGGGATGTAAATCTGATCTATTGTTTTTGCTAATCCACTAATCTCTTGCACTGAATTGGCTATGAAATTGATATATTGCCTATCTGAGGTGCTGTTGTTAAGTATCAAGGAATGACAGCTATAATCTAAGACTGCATCATTGTCATCAAGGAAGTTTTCACCTAGTATCACTGCCTCTGGAAGTGTAGGCAGAATATGGAATCTTTGAGAAAATTCCTGATCCTCAATGACAAAATCTAACACAACTGAACCTAACACTTTATGCAATTCGCCGCCAACACCTTTAACCTGTGGAAAGGGTGAGTTTCCAAGAGTAAGGTTTTCAAAAGCTTTGCTAAGAAAAGCAGACAAAATACAACAAATGGATGCCCCTGTATCTACTAAACAATTTGTTGTTTTTGTACCAAATTGTGCCTGAATGTGCATAACTAAAGACACTGTTGGAATTTCACTTTCAAAGTTACTTTCCATTCCAGACTCCATATTTGCCATGACACCTATTAGTATGTACCGTACTAAATTAAAGAAAGACAAGTAATCAACAATGTAATGTCGTACTTACAATATTTGAAGACTTTTTCTTCCTTTGTTGGTGTCTTTGGAGGAGTTGGTTGTCTTTAATCCAGTGTTGAGGTCAGAGGTTGATGCAGCTTGCTTGTTATTCCATCAGATGATCACAGTTGGACATGTCCTCCAATGAGTTCTTGTAGCTGGTCGTAGTTAGTTTCTGGACTCCGTGGTTCCGAAAACGATGATTCTCCGCCAAATTATCATGGAACTGTACTGCAATGTTTTCTTGGGGAATTAGTCAGCAAAGAGCCGGAGTCACAGGAGGCTAATCACAATTTTATTTACGAGAACAATTAACAATTTACAATATACTTAGAAAATAACTGAAGGTGCCACAGAGAGTCGGTACAACACTCTCAGCTGTGGGAGAGAGGTCTGCTTGGTAAGAGAGTCAAACCCCTTCTCTGCCCTAACAAGGTTCCTGTATGTATTTAACAAAAATTTGAACAATAAAATGGAATATGATTGGTTGATACATGATTGGTTGTGCCCTATGCTAAATGAATGGCTAGACAGAGGGGAATACTTAATCCTGTTAATCCTGTTGGACTGGCACTAATCTTGTTGACATATTTACTGGATGCTTTGAAAGAGATTTTGGTGTCACTATAGACGAGCTTGTGTTGGGGCTAATCCTTAATGCACTATAGACGAGCTTGTATGGGGGCTAATCCTTAATGCCCTATAGACGAGCTTGTATGGAGGCTAATCCTTAATGAGTCTAAATTGAAGTAATTGCTGAATGTTATTCTAATATAGGTGATGACAGATTTACTTAAATAAAATAGTTCAAGGTAATCTATAAGACTATGTAGACATATCTTTTGTCTGGGAGATGGGATCTTGATACCTTAGGCTAGCATTTATCTAAAAGCTCCAAATCAATTAAACTATGTAGACGTAACTCTTGTTTTATTGAATAGTATGTCTAGGAGATGCGCTCTCGTTACCTTAGGCTAGCATTTATCTAAAAAGGTATAACTGAAAGTACTGATATTTTATATGTGCATTTTACCTGATGATAAGTATTACTTGCTAAACTATAATTATATGAAATGATGTATAAATAATACACCATGATAACTCCTAAAAACACTTGATGTGGATCTAATTATTATAGGATAACTTAGTATAAATGTTATACCATGATAGAAGGATGGAAATGGGTTGGCTTCTATTTTTGTATGTAATTTCAGTTTCCCATCTGTTCCATTCTAAATTGGTCAAAATGAAAATAATCATATAATCAGGGCGGGAGTGTGTTTTTGTAGTCTTTATTAGAAAATAAATCACAAATGCCATTCTCTTTTTGGTTGTGATCGAGCGAGTAGGTGTGGTTTTAAGCCACTTTTATCACTATTCCAGTAATATCACAGTGGGGACACCTGAAATGGGCTTCAAGCGTTGGTGTCTGCATTATATACAGAAACATTCTAGTAAAAGTCTTTGTTTTAATTTTGACTTTTTATGATAACATGCAGAAAATCCAAGAGTGACAACAGGGCCTCAGATATCTCAGGAAGAAGGTATTTCACAGGGCACCCGTCACCTTTCATTCGAAAACTGGGTAGATGGCTCACCCGTGGATTCTGAGGAATATGACACTGATGTTGAAGAAGAAAAGAAGCCAGGTGAATGGGGAATAATGTTATCATGGTGCACTTTGAAGTTTCTTGTTGTTTTTCTTGTGTTTATTTTAGGGATTATGAGGACTGGTGTCCAAAACTTTGATTGTGCTCATTTAGAACTGATTACAGAACTTTGTCCACCTAACATTAGTCTGTGTTATGAAAACATGAAACTATATATAATGTACTGCAGTTTTGTGCATCATATTCAAGATGTCAAATGTACAGCTAGATTTCCAATTTCTCCCATGCATGGAGGGGCAGATATTTGGGTGTTGATGGTTTAATGTATAGAATCGGCAGGAGAAAGGCAGGAGATGTGCTTTGTTGGAGATGCACGTCCAAAAAATGCTTGAGAAATGTTGGCGACATACCTATGCATGTAGAAACAAACCACACCCATCCATATAAACATAATTCAAAATTTATACAAAAAGCATGGTGCGTATATGTATGCATATGTTTAGTAAACTGTAATAGTGATTGATAAACAGAAGTATATTATCACACAGCAGCACTGGATCCACTATGAGACAGCAGCTCCGCGAACAAACGACCATCTGAAGGGTTGGCATGAGAGATTTAAGAAGCTGATTGGGAAAGCGCATCTCAATGTTTTTTGAAATTCTAAAATTCAGTTGTGCTGAACAGAAAGTGAACAAAATACATCTCAACTTGTCTGGTACACTGTTGGTCAGCAACTACCTCCCCAAAAGAAGAAATATAAGGATATGCAGAGAAGGACTTGACGATTTGAAGAGAAAACTGGATGGCAACAAAATGAGTGTCATGAAATGCAGCGCCAGTGTTTTAAGATTAGCTTGATATGTGTGTGTGTATTTAAATCTAAAAATCAAAATTGCCTGTAGCAACATGCAACTAGAGTTCATGATTTGGGGATCAGACTTTTCTCTTTACATGCAGTCTTTTAGACCATTTATCCAACACTATCAAACCAACTACAATCAAGAGTTGGCCAAAACCAAAAGGGAAGCTGTAAAATCATGTGCCACAAAAGTGATGGACACACATATATCCCAACTACAATTGAACGTATGTGATCTCAGAGACCTAGCCACCATGGACAAAAACATACTCCAAAAGGATGCTGATAAACATTCTCTGGATACCATTTTTGCCAAACAGCTCAACCCGAGAATCCACTAACTGGCATACAAAACTAGATCAACGTTTCAATGAGTTTAATGAAAAGAATCCATATGACCCCAAACTGTTTATGGAACCTACATCAACCCCATGCAATCCTACTAGGAGACCACGCCACTAGGAGCCAAGAAACTCGCATCCCCTTAATCGGTTCAATAACAACAGTCTTTCAAATGGAAGACTAGAAACCAGTCAGGACACATCCAGCTGGAAAAAGTCTAAGGCAATTTGCCAATGCTCTCAATGTGAGCGGCAAGAACAATACAAACATTACCCATGAATTTTCCAATCTGAACCTCAATAATAACAGTTCAAATAAAAATTCTGAACGTTACCAAAATGCTTTTGTTATTAATCTGTCTGATTACCAACACTGATCTTAAGGCATTATTTAGACGGATGAGAATCTCTCACTTTTTCTATGAGACCCAACAAAACAGCCACAATTGATAATTTCAATGACCTAGAGCGAATATTTGGTCCACACAGTGCCTGGACCCCAAATCCGGGCATAGAACCGACGCTCAATGTATTTATCAAATCAGTTAAACATCAGTTTCTAAAAATAAACACCATTCCGTTTGCACACAACAACCTCTCTCGTACACAAAGAACAGCCATCGATAGTCTCAAAAATAACTTTGAAATCATGTTTAAGAAAGCTGACAAAGGATCAGGAGTTGTTATTCTCAATACCACTGATTACATCACACAGACTACACGTCAATCACAATACTTCTCACTAAAATCTTCACCAAAGAAGAAATCACATATAAAATATTCAATGGACTGTTACCCAAGGACCCCAAACCTGGTCCGTTCTACCTCCTGCCTAAAATCCTTAAAAGCCTAACACCTGGCAAAGTGCCAGGCCGCCCCATCATAAGCGGAAATGGCACCACCACTGAACTGATTAGCAGCTTCATTGATGAACACATAAAAGAGTTTGTCAAAAATTATCCAAGCTGCATTGTGGACACCATCAACTTCATTCAGACCCTAGATAACTTCAACCTCCTACCAAACAGCTGAAGAGAGAACAGACCTCTTAACACAAAATCAGTAGTATAAGTAATGACAGTTCTGCTGCAACTCCACTGGAGCCAGATTTATATACATGTACTGCTACTACAGAGGATTTTTTTGTGCAAAAATGATGATGCGATTCAACGATCGTATTAAAGAATCATCAATTTTAATTAATAATCGATAAAATATACTATAGCCCATGAGGATATTGGAAAGGTATAGGAGCAATACAAAAATTAGCCAGTGTAGCTAAGGTATCTAAAGATGTGGCCAGGGATTGGTTAAAGAAACAAGCGATGTGGCAAATATACTTACCGGCATCGCGTTATATCCCGAGGAAGAAGTTTGATATTTTTACAAGGAATGAAGTTCATCAAGCTTACCTCTTGTTTCTTCCCTATGATAAGGTAAGACGCAAAACGTATAAATATGCTTTAACCGTAGTGGATGTGGCTAGTCGCTACAAGGAGCCTGAGCCATTAACCTCGAAAGATTCAACAGAAGTAGCTAATGCACTGAGTTGCATATATAAACGCAGACCACTAAAATGGCCTAAGTTATTTCAAGTAGATCCTGGTCGCGAGTTTATGGGATCAGTAACTAAACTGTTAACAAAGCACGATGTCGAAATCAGGCGTGGTGAAAAAGAGGCCCACCGTAGTCAAGCTATCGTTGAAAGATTTAACTGGACATTAGCGGAACGTTTGTTTGGATATCAGTATAGGATTGAAATGAAATCAGAATGATTAAGATCAACCGAATGGGTGACACGATTATCAGCTGTTGTATCAGCGCTAAATAATGAAGTAACGAGATTAATAGGGAAGAAACCATCCGATGCGATTAAAATGAAATCTGTGACTTCCAAATCTTTAGCACCGCGGAGAGGCAAAGAACAAAAATTTCCTGATAGAGTAAACGTAAGATATTTATACCAGCCCGGTGAACTCGAAGGAGGCCAACGTCGCGCAACCGATCCAATTTGGTCCCTTAAGATATATAACATTAGTCGATTGGTTATGAGAGAAGGAGAGCCTATTCTTAAATATATTAAAGATGGACCGGGCAGGGCATTTGTACGAGAAGAGTTGTTCATAGTTTCCAACGATACAGTATTACCACCCTAACCATAAGCATAGGTAGCTACACCATCCTTATCAATACATCTCTTTGTATATAATGGGGATAATGATGTCTTGTTCATTCTTAATCCATATATCCTATGATTGACACTTCTTAAAGCGTTCATCTCGTGTTTGAATGTTCTACCGTTGAATAATGCTTCTTTATACTGTTCGTGTTTGATATGCTTTTTCACCACATACTTCTTAACACCCTTAGCTTTGCATACGCTCCTGACACTGCCTTCTGGTGAAGTGAACGGAAGCACACTAAGTGGCTGTTTGTCTCAAACGTCTTGACGTGTATGGTGATTTCTCTTCGGTGAGCACCGTAAGACGATCCATGGCTGGCGGGCGTGTGGACTGGATCCGTGAAGCTCCCGGTAGTGAATAGGCCTTCAGTATCTCCAGCTTGCCATAAGAGCTGACTGCTTGTAAGCGGAGACCAACAGGATCGGGCGGTCAGGCATGCTGACATGGTTAGAGCAGATAATTGTATACCAAGAAGTAGCTTGATGTTCATGATGTCAATCACTGAATTGTCCAGTCTAAACTTGATTAAGTGCAGATTGCTATCAATAGTAGTCATAGTGCAAGCGTCATGTCGAGCTTATCTGTAGCCACCTACGATGTAGTTGTGGTTTTAACGTCCCTGGGAGGTACAGCCGACTGTTTGGAGCGTTGCTGCAGGGCCGCCAATAGGGATTATAAAAGAGATCCAAATTGCGAAGCTGAGAGAGCAGTCTGATCTCTATGATCCCATGAGTTGAACAGAAGGCGCCAGTGTTTGGGATAGTGACTTGTCGGGTGATTGCTGGTCTGGATGCGTATCAGTCAGCGACGCTAAATGTGAATGACAGGAAGGTCTATAAGGATAACATTAAGAGTCCGAGATAAAATATGTCTGAGTAACGACCATAATGAGCTTGTAGTATGGTCAAAGGGTAGCACACGCTTCGTCTCATTTTTTGAAACAAGGAAACAGTAGCTGTTAGACAATCCAGGTATAGTCAGGGATGAGTGACTTTACCAGTTGGACAAAGTAGGCATATGGATCAACCAATTTTACAGGTGAACAGGGATGCACAAAATTAAAACACTAGACAAATTTTTAAACTTATCCTATCACACTCTATGCATTTCATCCTCCTTCTTCTGATCCCTTGTGTGGAAATGAAGTTTCCAGCTTCTGAGCTTCTATTTGCCCAAACACCTCTGCATCATCATGGTGATCATCCCAGCAATCAGGTCATGCACCCATATCTTTTGCAGCGCCGACCTCGATCTGGTCCCTTGACCTCGTGAAAACATGTTTGGCCCCATTACTGACTATACCAGTAATAAGGCGTTGGCTGCACTTGTTAGGGACACACATAAGGTTGATAAAGCTTATGGAAATATAAGTAACGTTCAGGAGTGCGTTTGTGCGAGATGTTTTCTCTGTTCTCCAGGAACACAGTTTAGGAAGTTTCCACAACCTTTTTGAAATGAGTAGAGAAGCAATAAGTATGAGTCAGGATAAGATAAAATAAAATAGATGGGTGAACCCACAAAGACAGACTGACTTGGCTGGCATAGTTAGGAATGCCCATTCAGAAGAAAATATATATAGTGTGTATCTTTGACTTGTACTATTGGTCAACAATGACTAAGTTACCTTTGGTAAGCTACACTGCAATGAGTCAA